TGAACCAACAAATTTGTACCTCAAACATATATTCTACGGTAAGCTTCACAAGAACACTAATTGCAACGATGGGGTATGGAGGTTAATGGTACCTGCTATAGTAAGTCCATGCTATGCTCCTCACTAACAGGAAAAAAAAGATTGATTGTTGAGTACAATGATTCCTCTTGTCCACTGCAAATGATTCCTACAGAATGTTAAAGAGTGTGTTCTTTATCTCCAAGGTCCCAGTAATATGCCAAAAAACAGGAGTGAGAGTGACCCCACAGTAATTACATTAGAATACCAAAAAAATAAATACATTATCGTTGTACAAGACAAACAGCAAATCCGTGTACACAAGTGCAACGTGGACTTATACGATCAGCAAGCAAAGTCTCCGTCTTACTAATCTTGAAAAACGCTTCTTCCTGCGCCATGTCAACGCACAAGAATAGGGGATCGCAACAGTTTTTGAGGGTAGAGTATTCAACCCAAATTTATTGATTCGACATAAGGGGAGCCAAAGAATATTCTCAAGTATTAGCAGCTGAGTTGTCAATTCAACACACCTGGAAACTTAATATCTGCAGCAAGGTGTTTAGTAGCAAAGTAATATGATAGTAGTGGTAACGGTAGCAAAAGGTAATAGTAGCAAAAGTAATGTTTTTTGTATTTTGTAATGATGATAGCAATAGCAACGGAAAAGTAAATAAGCGAAGAACAATATATGGAAAGCTCGTAGGCAATGGATCAGTGATGGAGAATTATGCCGGATGCGGTTCATCATGTAACAGTCATAACCTAGGGTGACACAGAACTAGCTTCAATTCATCAATGTAATGTAGGCATGTATTCCGAATATAGTCATACGTGCTTATGGAAAAGAATTTGCATGACATCTTTTGTCCTACCCTCCCGTGGCAGCGGGGTCCTAATGGAAACTAAGGGATATTAAGGCCTCTTTTTCATAGAGTACCGGAACAAAGCATTAACACATAGTGAATACATGAACTCCTCAAACTATGGTCATCACCGGTAAGTATCCCGATTATTATCACTTCGGGTTTAACGGATCATAACACGTAATAGGTGACTATAGACTTGCAAGATAGGATCGAGAACTCTCATATATTGATAAAAACATAATAGGTTCAGATCTGAAATCATGGCACTCGGGCCCTAGTGATAATCATTAATCATAGCAAAGTCATAGCAACATCAATCTCAGAACATAGTGGATACTAGGGATCAAACCCTAACAAAACTAACTCGATTACATGATAGATCTCATCCAACCCATCACCATCCAGCAAGCCTACGATGGAATTACTCACGCACGGCGGTGAGCATCATGAAATTGGTGATGGAGGATGGTTGATGATGACGATGGCGACGGATTCCCCTCTCCGGAGCCCCGAAGGGACTCCAAATCAGCCCTCCCGAGAGGTTTTAGGGCTTGGCGGCGGCTCCGTATAGTAAAACACGATGAATCCTTCTCTTTGATTTTTTTCTCCCCGAAACCAAATATATAGAGTTGGGGTTGAGGTCGGAGGAGCTCCAGGGGGCCCACGAGGTAGGGGGGCGCGCCCCCACCCTCGTGGACAGGTGGTGGACCCCCTGGTCTTCATCTTTTGCAAGGATATTTTATATTTTCCGAATAGGTGTTCCGTGAAGTTTCAGGTCATTCTGAAAACTTTTGTTTCTGCACATAAATAGCACCATAGCAATTCTGGTGAAAACAACGTCAGTCCGGATTAGTTCCATTTAAATCATGCAAGTTAGAGTCCAAAATAAGGGCAAAAGTGTTTGGAAAAGTAGATACGACGGAGACGTATCAGATAGATGGCTTGACATGGTGATCAAGAATTCTAATATAATTATTTTTCAACAACAAATCAAAGATTTGATCGCACATGTTTGAATCGAAGGTATACGTTTTGTTTTCTAGCCGATCTTGGTGTGCGAATGGCTTTGGAGGTAAGCAAATGAATGATTCAGGTTTAGAATCTCCCCATTCGGCTATGCATTGTGTTTTGCACCCTATCTTCGATGTATTTGGATAAGATATTATATTAGCATCGAATTTCTCAAAAGAATTTGATCTTGGCTTTAAATTTCTGAAACGAAAATAGTCAGAATACACATGTCTCAATTGAGACCAAGTGCAAGCCAAGTATTTAACAAGGAAAGCTACCTAATTAGATATGAAATTTTGATAAAGCAATGGGGAAAACTTTGGCTGCAATAATAAGTCACTATTGGTCTTTATAAATGGTACAATAGATTGACCAATATGTTCTATAATATTTTTATTGCTAACAAGTAAATTTCCCTTCTTCATTGGTCTTTCAAAATTACTTATGAGAATTTCTCTTATAGAAGCATCAACAATAAAGTTGCGACCAAATCGGAAGATAGGTAAATCACTTGCTAGACATACATTTTCAAACATGTTGGGAGAGCATGATGGTTGCGTTACTTGAACGATATGTTGTTCCTCTTTCGAATAGCTCCCCAACACCTTGTCATCCTGTTTTTCTAGAATAAATTCGGCATATGTAATATTTGATTCGGTCTTTTCAAAAGCCGAATTAACTTTGTTATCTGAATCATCACCTTTTTTGATAATTCTATCTACACCCAATGCTTTCTCTTTTTGACATAATCTAGCTTGAATTGCAGCAGAATTAATAGGATTTCTCTCTTTTATTAATTCATGTAGAACAACATTGCATTCGTCCCAAAAAGACGTAAGATTTTTCTTAATGACCCAATCTGGATAGAACTGCCCCCCGACACTTTTAGACTCTTTTGGTAACGAGATGTCACCAAAATTCTGTAATTTTGCAGGGGAAAATTATATGCTATGATACTAGGTGACGACACATGTGATCCTATAGAATTTTCACTTATTCGGTTATTAGTGTGAAGGTGCAAAGCCGAATTATGAATACCCATAGTTGCATATGGTGCCAAAAAAATAGTAGCATGAGGTGTAGCATATGATGACTGAGGGTAACTGGCCGGATAACTAGTAGTAGCATGGCCAATTCCCGTATTCACCAGCATGTTTTGATTAACATATTGCAAGCTAGTTGCCGATGAATAAAAAGGTGAAACACTTTGTTGCATAATATCAGAAGTTCCTAGGTGAAGTGTTTCAACTTGATTAACGGAACTCATCATGTTGTTCATCGGCATATGGATTTGCAGGGCTACCGATGCATGGGAGTTCGTATACATATGTTCCATGTTGCTAAAATTATATGAGGTAGAAGCATGGAGATTTTGTTGCATCGGCTCTTGCACATAATTAGATGCATGATTGATAAAGCTAGGGCTAGTCGATACATTATGCTCATTAAATGATTTAGCAACAACATATGCATTATTTGCATCTACATAGGTGAATTGGGTATTCATCTTACCTTTATAGATTGCAAATCCTAGATGACAATCTCTTCGTAGCAAGAACGGACCGGAGACCGTTCAAAGCTTCGTCCCCAGAGGAGTCGCCAAAAAGTGTGTTCGCACACGAACACGTCACCGTATACCCTCGACGCCGGGGGTGATGCACCGCAGCTCACGTCGAAGGAGACCCGTCCGGAAGCGCGGTACACAAGCAATCCGGCGGGTGCTTTTGAGGACCCGAAACCCCACACGCCCGGGAAGGACCCCGTCAGGGCACGTGGCGGCTATGGGCTGGCCTAGGTCGACCTGATCGCCCCTAGGGCCTCGAGGTTCACCATCCTGCAACAAGAAAAACAGATGAAGAACGAGGAAGAAGAAGAACTAGGATTAAGGAGAAAAGATAAAAGATAAAAGATAAAAAATGGTAGATGATTTGATCGATTGTGTGTTGTTCAATCGGCCGTCACCCCTTAGGTATATAAGAGACGGCTAGACTTCCCGTGCAAGAAAAAGGCTTGGATTCACGTCCAAAACCCTAGTCAAATTCGGATTGATTTTGTCCGAACTTTTCAAAACTATTCGGTTTAAACTGGCTGGACCTTACGGGTAATTTTTGAGGTGGTAAACAACCTCAGATGGAAACGAGCCCAAAAGCAATCTTGACCATTTCAACGAGACGAACAACTTTCATGTTGAACGTTTTTTTATCAGAGGTCATCTTGATGGCCAAATCACTCGCGCAAAACAGAATATTATTCGCGCTACCCATCAGATATGGTGTCTGGGGCGCGCCACTTTTGGCTCGTGATAGGGGTGTATTCGGATGGTTGTAACTTTTGCATACAAACTCGGTTTGGAACGATTTTTATATCAAAATCGATCATTTCGACGAGACAAAGATAATTCGTGTAAAAAGTTTTCTCATATGTGGCCATCTTGGAGGCGTAATCAGCCGAATAGTGTTCTAAATACAAAATCTCAATACTTCGAACACAATTTCGGCCTTGGAACTGAGACCGGATGGCTATAGGCCAAATATAAAAGTTTATTTTTTTGATGAAACGAAACTTTCTAACTTTGAGCATTTTTCCATTTGAGGCATTCTTAATTATATTTTCAACCATGCCAAAATCTGGTATCAACACCACGCCCTCTCTCTTCTGGCGGCTTCGCAGCCGTTCCACTACTGCTTCCTCGCTCGCACCGTCGCCCCCTGCCTCCACTCCCCGCTCGTGCTTCCTTCGGGCTGCACTCCTCGCGGGGCGTCCAGCGGCACGGAGACCGTGGGAGGAACAGCGTCGCGTCAGGCTGACCAGCAGCGCCGGGCTCGTGGTGTTACCCAGCAGGTGTTCGACGTAATGCTGAGGGCACGACCGCGGGCTCTGCGGTTTGGTAGTTTGCGGAATGCATCACTATGCTTACCGTACCAGTGGCTCTATCACAATTTGGCAAACTTCCCGTTTTATAAAGGAATGCAGGCCGCTCTGCTGATTTTATCTTGCTATATTCATGACGAAAAGCAGCAACGGCTTTGCAGTCACAGTCCAGAAAAAACAAGGTCGAGGATCTAAGCCTGATCGGTCGATGGATTGGCTGGCTCTCGCCAGCTGCACCACGGTCATGATCCTTCTCTTCCTGCCGTTGAGCGCTTCCCAAGACCGGCTTGTCCCCGGCAGGGCGCTGTCCCCTGGTAACACCATCGTCTCCGATGATGGTGGATTCGCCTTGGGCTTCTTCAACCCCTCCAATTCTTCTCTGGCCAGCTTGTACCTAGGCGTATGGTACAACGACATCCCCGAGCTCACCGTTGTGTGGGTCGCCAACCAAAATACCCCGGCCACCAACACAACTTCCTCAACACCGAAGCTCTCCCTCACCAATAGCTCTAATCTGGTTCTCTCTGATGGTGGTGGCGGAAGCCGTGTCGTTTGGACAACAGCCAACCTGACCAATGGTCTGGTCTCATCTACCCCGACGGCGGTGCTTCTAAACACCGGTAACTTCGTCATCCGATCGTCAAACGGCACCATCCTGTGGCAGAGCTTCGACCAACGCACAGACACCTTCCTTCCCAGCATGAAGCTCGACATAAACTACAGGACGCGTACCACCACCAAGCGGCTGGTATCATGGAAAGGCCCCAGCGACCCCTCGCAGGGGCGCTTCTCCTATGGCAGCGACACAAACAGGTCGCTCCAAGTATTCCTGTGGGACGGCGAGCACCCGGTATCTCGTGCCGCTCCCTGGACAGGGTATCTAGCCCAACAACAACTAATTGGGGACACAAATATCAGCGATCATATCATCTACCTAGCCTATGTCGACAATGAGGATGAGGCATACGTCACTTATAGTCTCTCCGACGGCGCCCCGCGCACCAGGTTTGTGCTAACCTACTATGGCGAGTTTCAGATCCAAAGCTGGAGCAGTAGGTCATCAACATGGGTTGTCATTTGGAAGTTTCCAACTGTTGAATGCAACCGTTACAGTTACTGTGGCCCCAATGGTTACTGCGACAAGACGGCCACGACACCCACCATGCCAACATGCAAGTGCCTAGATGGCTTTGAGCCAAGTAGCACGGAGGAGTGGACCAGCGGCAGATTCTCGGCGGGGTGCCAACGGAAGGAGGCACTGCAAGGGTGCAGTGACGGCTTCGTGCCCTTGCCGGGGATGAAGTCACCTGACAGGTTTTTGTTTATTGGTGGAGGTAGAAGTAAGTATGAGGAGTATGCGGCAGAGTGTAGCCGCAATTGCTCCTGTGTGGCATACGCGTTCGCCAACCTGAGCAGCAGCAGGTTTGGAGGACACGTGACGAGGTTCTTTGTGTGGTCTGGGGAGAATA